CTTTATCCACTTTAGCTTTTTTTAAAAAAACACACAAACAAAAAAACCCACTCAGGCATATATAATAAATTACATCTCCAAAGGGCACATTCTTCAAGTCTGCTCCTGGCCACCAGTTCTTAGTCCCTCTCTTCTTAGTTGATGAATCTAGAGTCCTCTGCCGCTCCTCCTCTCCATGCCCCCATCTCTGCCTCCATCTATGGCACTGCTGCTTCTCTGGATAAGGTCCCGCATTCTATTTGCATGTTCCTCTCTTGATGGTCCTAGGGTCCTCTTGTTTCTGGACTGTAAGATTAACCACTTCCCTTTTTTTTGTTACAAAACTTCTACCTTTACAATTGTGACAGGTCACCAGAAGGTACGCCCCTTCCTTCCAGAGAGCTCATTGTGGGGTGGGGCAGGAAAATAATTTCCTCAGCAGTGCAGTCTGCAGCTAACCAAGGGTTGTCTTAAGTAGCTCTCACTTCCCAGCATCCCTTGACCATACCACTCCTCTCTCTCCATTCCCCTTCCCCTCCCACAGCTCATTTCTTCTCCTCTTACCCTCACCCCAAACTCTACCCACTTCTCTGACCCTGCCCACCTGCACGGCCCAGCTAGCCTCACCCAGCCTCTCCCCTTCCCAATTTTCCCTGCACACCAGGATCCCACACAGCTGAACCCTCACTGTCAGCACAGTCCAAGCCTGGGATCTGCAGCTCGGCAGGATCTGGACCTCCAAACTGATGAGTGTGATCTCGCATCAGGTTCCAGACCCTCCCTTTCCTTGCTGGCTTCTCATCCCTGGTAGGACCCTCTCATGCCTCTCAAGTCAGTTCAGGGGGGCTTCTGGTACAGCTGATGCCAGGTCATCCTGAGCACCGTCTATCCAAGAGGACTTGGACACAACCACCCTGCCCTGGTCTCCTTCCAGGGCAGCTGGTCCCCCAGACCCAGGGCTGCACCAGTATCAGATAGAAATTGATGGACACACACACACACAAAGAAATTGATGGACACAGCATCTCCACCACAGCAGAGCATCCCCCTGGGAGGGGAGGAGTCAGCAAAGATGGGGGATGGAGTGAGGTTCAGGACAGATACTGAAAACATAGGATAACAAGCCACTGGCTTCAGTAGACAGAATTTGCTATGGACCACTCTGCTGAGATCTACCACGCTCCAAAGAAAGGGGCTTGTGTATCAAAGACCCCACCCAGACAGCAGGGCATGCCTGGTGAGGATTGTGTGCTCCCCATCTGTCTCTGCCCCCACCAGTAGGCTGCTCCTAGCTGCCCAGGATGTGGTAAGAACAACCCCACACCCCCACTGGGTAGCTCTATCCCTACAGAGATTCAGAGTGTCTGTGTCCCAGATATGCTGGCAAATGTCCCCAGAGACTGCCTGCTTTTGCTTCCTGAGCTGGTTCCTGCTCGGCTCACTGACACCACACAAGCTGAGTCTGGAGAGCTGGGGACGCTCCATCCTGGATGACCCACAACACCGTCCCAGCACAAGGAGTAAGACATGCAGCTGGCTGAGGACATCCACCTTTTCCTTTGATGACCCCAGTGGTGACCAGAGGACCCTGCAGAAATGAGTGGTCACCCTTCTCTGTGCTCCAGGGACACTGGACTCCTGGGATCCCCCGCCCCCATTCACGGCCCTGTCAGAACATGTCCAGGTCCCCCTTCCTCCCAGACATCCCAGAGTGTCTGAGTCAGGGTCACCACAGGAATCAAGGGGATTCTACACCCAGTGTCAGCCCTACTCCTCCCCATCAGCATCCAGCCTACATCAGGGCTCACACCTCAGGATCAGAGGACCTCCACCCAGCACCCACACCCCCTGTGGTCCCACCTGAAGCCAGAACCAGCCTGAAGGTGTGCCCTGGAGTAATGTGGGGGTGACCCTCAGCTCAGTCTCAGGACCAGGCTGGAGACTAGGACAGTGAGCCTCCATGAATGATGGCACAGACCGTACATACAGAAGCACTTTATTGAATTTGTTTATAGGCAGATATCAGTTTGCAGACTGCTGTGCCCATAGGGTGTGAGGTCAATACGTCGGACACAGGGTCAGTGGGGGAGGGCAGGCAGGACAGGGAATGGGGGATTTTCTGGAGACAGCAAAGGGCAGCAGTTAATGCTTTACCATCCGTCTAATAGCTTGAAAGCTCATTAGTGCTCCAGTGGCGAGAAGAGTAATGAAAAGTATCGTCATCAGGAGACTGAGGATTAGCGCGAAGATGTTCAGGCACTTGGCAGTGGAGGCGTAGCTCTGGGCCCCAATCACATCGCCCACCATCTTCCGGTCCCTAGACTGGGGGAGAAGAGATGTTGACAGGACCTGAGAGGGACCTGCTGGTGGCAGCACTCAGGGTCCCCCCTCGTTCTCCCTCCACAGTGCAGCCTGCACCCTCCTTGGGGGCCCCACTGCTCCCTGGAGCCCAAGCAGGGCAGTCTCTGTCCCCTCCCTACTGGAGCCTGGACCCCCTCACAGCCCCTCACCTCCTCAGCTCCCCCCCACACACACACACACAGGGAGCTGCGGGCTTTGTGTCCCTCTGCTGTGATGTCCTCGCTACCTCCCTGAGAGAGATCACTTAGTTATTTCTGAGCCAGTCTGGGGGTCTAACTCAAGGCTGAGGGATGGATTTCTCCATTAGTTTGTGAGGGAGTGAGAATTCAAGGGGACCAGGGGAGTAATGGCTGACCACAGCCAACCGGGGTGCCCACTGCAGTACCATTCTGGAGCTTCCCAGGAACCGAATCCCCATGAGACACTCACATGCAGACACACATATATACACAGACAAGAGACACACACAAACTCACAAGGACACACACACAGAGATAGATACAAGACACACATAAGAGGGAGACACACACGCACATGCTCACACACACAAGCACAGACAAGAGACACAAACAGGTATGCACACAGATTCACAAAAAAGAGAGAGACACACACAAGAGAGATACACACATGCACACACATATGCAGACTCAGAGAAGAGGCACACATAGAACACACACACATAAGAGAGGTACACATACACACACGGTCAGACACACAAGGACATAGACAAGAGGCACACGCACACACACACAAAGATAGACACAAAGTGAGAGATCCACCCATACACAGGCACATACACAGAGACATACATGAGAGATACATACACATGCTCTCACATGCAAGGACACACACAGGCTCTTGGTCACTCCAGGCCTGTTTGGGTAGAGCTTGCACCCTTGTGGAGAATACCCCAGGTCCCAGCACACGCACCTTCACCGAGTAGGCAAAAGCCACAAACCCCAGGCAGCAGCAGTTCATGAAGAGTGTGTTGAAGAAGGACCAGACAACATGGTCAGGCACAGAGATCTCACTCTGCATGTTGACCACAGTGGACGTCACAGCTGTTGTGTTGTAGGGCGCCTTCATGATAGCCACCTCGTGCTCTTCCTTGATCATCTCCTGGGTTTTGGGGAACAGTGCTAACTCTTGTGAAGAAAGGTTGGGAATGCAGTTGGTCATGCCAAGACCAGGTGTTAACGAGGTCCGGATGTTGGGGGAGGTCCCTTTTAGAGCTCAGCCCCTTGGACTCAGTCATTTCCATGTCTCAGAAATGTCTATTTCCTGATGTTATATAAGGTGGTGACTTGACTGGGTAGTAAGGGAGGTAGAGTATATTTCTGAGCCTCATGTTTCGTTAGGGCTGGGTGGGAGCAGGGGCTGAGGGCTAGCGAGGGAGAACTCTTACACCAGGAAATTGCTCAGCTGCTCCCAGCTTCTCCTTTAGGGTGTGGATGGGCCTTGGGGACATTTCACTGGTCTGGAAATTGCCCCAGCTGGCTTTCACCTTAGCCTCTAGTCTGCAGCAGGTACTCACGGTCTCCTCACTGGAGTCTCACATTAACCCACACACTCCAACCCCCACAAGGTTTCCTCCCAGTCTACAGGTCTCTTAGCTCGGTCCTCCTCTGCCTGGGCCCACTGTCCTTCCCTCGGCCTCAAGTCTATGCTTCAGGTGAACCCTCAGAAGACCCTAAACTTGATATGGCTCTTGGATGCAGGTCCCAGATTTCAGATATAGGCCGGCTTTTCAACAGGAGCCTCTAGACCCCATGCTAGGGTCCCTGGGAACTGGGTGTGGGGTGACTGCTGGCAAAGAAGCAGCTGTGATGGGTGGCAGGTATGGGTCTGGGGAGCACAGGGCCTCATGGTGTGTTCCCACTCCTAACCTCCTGCACCTCATCACATTCTATAAGAGTGAGGAGCCAGGGGGAGGGCAGAGGGCCCTGTACTCAGCCCTACTACGGACGAGAGAGAGCAGCGTGGTGGTGCCTCAGTCCCTTGTGGCCTCCTGGTCTCATGACACTTCCTTCTTCCTGCCTCAGCCCACAGAAAGGTGAGGAGATGAGACAGAGAAAGCGAGGTGAAAAAACCAGAGCACCTGGAGGGAACACAACTGCGGTTTGGAAGTTCCTCTTTTTCTCAGATGAGAAACGCAATCTGTCATTCAGTTTCACTTTTCAAAGCCACATCTCATTTAGTCCCACGTCCTTTCCCCAACTCTCTTGAGTTCCGCTCAGCTCCTGAAACCCTACAGCTTGCAGCAGTTCCTCCTTGACTCCCTATAGGGTCTTGTCAAGGTCACCAGGAACCTCCTTGCTAGGTCCAGCCAGTGGTCAGCTCTCCAGTCAAATCTCAACCCCTGAAGCCTAGGGCTTTCTGGTCCTTCCTGACTTGTGGGAACTGATCTCTTCCTGTTCTCCCCTCTGAATACCTGTATGTTGGCAGTGCTCCCAGGTAGCCTTCGAGGTCCTAAGGCCCTAGACTGGGGAGACCGCACACCACCCCATCCCCTCATTCTGAATATTTCACGAGAAGATAAGGATGCAAGCTAGTTCATCAATTATTATCTTTCTTGATTATATGTTAAAAGAATAATGTTTGGGGCAGATTGGGCAGATAAAATCCTTTGCTGTCCCAACAAACAGCTTTTGTTTTCTTAATGCGGCCATGGGAATATTCGCCATGAAGTTGGCAGTTGCTTCCTGTTTCTGTACCAGCAGAGCACACTCCGGGGCCCTGCTCTACTCCAGGGCCTCTCTGAACAAAGGCCCCACCTATGCTGCTCAGAACTTCCTTCCCCTCCCCCTCCACCCACCCCGAGGGAAAGACCCTAACCTCACCAGCCCAGCCTTCCTCTCCGGTGCCCCATGCCCACCCACCGTCCAGATGGTGCCTTACCCAGTGGATGGGCCCCTTCCGTCTGTTGCCCTCAAAGCAGCTAAAGGACCATGACCACTTTCCTTTTGTAGATATCAACCCAAACCTCAAGCCCCACCCCATCTGCTTCTTAAAGAACCACGTGCCTGTTTCTCCACTGTTGGTCCCTCACCCAAGTCACCTCCTCCGAAAGGCCCTCATATCCCACTGAGTCTGTCCCTCACCACCTAGAGAGGACACTCCCTTGAGTCAGGGGACGCTGCCCCACCCTAGGACTGGTGAAGCAGATATTCTTTCTCTGCACCAAGGGGAGGCAGAAGGGACCTGGAGTCAGATCCTGCTGCCTCCACACACTGGGAGTCACCTCAATACATCCTTCCCCCCCTGTATGAAGGTGAGAGAAGAGAGGACCTCTGGAAGGACACCAGCCTTAAAATGAGATCAGCAAGCCTCCTCCGCTGTAGCCTGCTGTGCATGCTGGGGCATGAGGCATGCTGGGACATGAGGCATGCTGGGGCATGCGGCATGCTGGGACATGAGGACAGCAGGCAGCCTGGGCCAATCACAGGCAGTCATTCAATGGTGATGGAATTTTGGGAAGCCCCTCCCTCTCAAGGCTTTGCAATAGGTAGACCTGGGAGGACAGAAGAGGGATGAGGCTGGGTGACAGGCAGGTGACACCAGGTGACTCCTGTGGGGGTAGGAGGGCAAGGGAAAGGACCCACGTGGGATCAGTAATGGCGAGGAGCAGGGCCAAGAGCTCTCAGTAGGAAGCTGTCCCACTTGGTGTCTACAGATCCAGCCTCACCTCAGACAAAGTGTGGTGAACATGTGGTTGGACTGGGGGAAAAGTTGTCTGCTCAAGTCCCATCTCCAGGTCTTGGGAACTTCTTCTTTGGGGGAGAGACTCCAGGGCTCAAGCAGTCCCTTCTCTGGATAGCCTTCCCCAATCAGGGTTCCTTCCCTCCCGGGTACCCCCACCACTAACTCCTCCAGGCCTGCCCCAGCCCCGGGTTCCTAGTCCTGCTCCATGGTGGTTTCAGAGGAGCTGGGACTGATTGTTTTCCCTTGTGCGACTGACCCAGAGAGCTGCTCCTAATGAACAGAACAGGCCCTGTAGCTTCATCCTTTACCACCTGTGGTCTCTCGGGAGGAGTCTGGGCCCATCCTTGGGCTGGGTTAGGGTTGTAGAATTCAGGGTTTCCCCCCACGGTTCTCCTCACAGGAGGGTCACACTTGTTATAATGCTCAGGTGTCATCCAGCTGGAAACTCTGAACTGTTCTTGAATAGGGGATTCATGTTTTCATTTTCACACAGTGTCCCACAAATTACATTGCCTGTGCTTCGAAAGTTGAAAGCTATGAAAGTTGACTTATGTTGCTACACACCAGGGGTAGGTGGATATGAAACTGAGACAATGAATGAGGAAGACCATAGAACTGATGCTTTTGAACTATGGTGTTGGAGAAGAATATTAAAAGTACCATAAACTGCCAGAAGAACAAACAAATCTGTGTTTCAAGAAACGTAACCAGCATGTCCTTTAGAAGCAAGGATGGTAAGACTTTGTCTCTCATACATTGGACACATTTTCAGGATGGAACCATCCCTGGAGAAGAAGGGTCGGTGAAAAAGAGGAAGACCCCCGATGAGATGGATTGGCACAGTGGCAGCATCAATGGGCTCACACCTAAGAGTTATGAGGATGGTGCAGACTGGGCAGTGTTTCATTCTGTTGTGCCTACAATCACTCTGAGTTATAACCAACTCAATGGCACCTAACAACCTCACAGAAAACTAAGGAGTACATAGCATTCATCTTCTACAAAAGCCATCTGAAATGATCTCCAGAAGGAAATCTCCTCTCTTTCTAGTTGCATGACGCTGACAACAAGGTATTTATCCAACAGTAATGGTCTCCTTCCTCACAAACCCTTTCTTCAGAGAAGCCCTGATGGCACATTGAACTAAGCACTGGCCTGCTAGCTAGAAGGTTGGCAGTTCAAACCCACCAGACACTCCATGTGAGAAAGATGAGGCTGTGTGCTCCTGTAAAGACCCATAGCATTGGAAATGCTATGGAGCAGATCTACTCTCTCCTGTAAGAATCGTTGAGTTGGAATCAACGACACTGGGTTTGGTTTGGGGTTTTTTCTTCAGAAGATGATGGCCAAGAGAAACTTAGCCAGACAAGTGGGGAGCAGCTGCACCAGTTTCCCATGTTTTAGATACAAGAGGACACCTGGAAGAGGACAGAACAGAGGATGAAAGCATTACTCCCTCAATGTCATGTCCTACAGTGCAGGGTGTTCTGACCTTCTTGTCTTACCTGAAACCAGACTCTCGCCTGGATGACAAAACTCCCTCTCAACCCTCTCAAGTGGAGGCTCCACTGTGTTTCCTATCCAAATGCCCAGTATGTGGAGCCCCAGAGTCCTGGAAGTACCCTCCTGGCTTCTTCCCCTGCTCCACAACCCCACCCCCCAGCTCACTGGTAGATTGTCTACTTGACATTGTTGTTATTAGGTGTTGTCAAGTTGGTACTGACTCATAGTGACCTTATGCAAAACAGAACAAAACACTGCCTGGTCCTGGGCCAACTTCACAATCATTGTTACATTTGAGCACATCACTGCTGCCACTGTGCCAATCCATCTTGTTGATGGCCCTCTTCTTTTTCTCCAATACTCTATTTTACCAAACATGGTACCCTTCTTCAGGGACTGGTCCTTCCTGACAATATGTCCAAAGTATCTGGCCATCCTAACTTCCAGGGACTATTCTGGCTGTACTTCTTCCAACAAAGATGGTACTTTTAATATTCTCCTCCAACACCACAACTCAAATGCATCAATTCTTCTACAGTCTTCCTTATTCACCATCCAACTTTCACATGCATATGAGGTGATTGATAATACCATGGCTTGGGTCAGGTGCACCTTAGTCCTCAAGCTGACATCTTTGCTCTTCAACTTTAAAGAGGTTGTGTGCATCAGATTTGCCTAATGCAATATGTCGTTTGATTTCTTGAGTGCTGTTTTCATGAGTGTTGATGGTTTTGATCCAAGCAAAATGAAGTCTTAGACAACTTCAATCTTTCTCCATTTATGTGGATGTTTTTACAGGTCCAGTAGTGAGGATTTTTGTTTTCTGTACACCGAGGTACAACCCATACCAAAGGCAATGGTCTTTGATATTCATCAATACATATTTTAAGTTTTCTTTGCTTTCAGCAAGC